ACAAAGACAGAAAACTAAATGAAGATGAAGTAATAATAGAAGAAAATTCACAAAATTGGGAAACCAATAATAAAAATTTTTAGAAAATACTATGGAAAGGGTAGAAATTTATCTTGAGTGAAATTGGTACATGTTCCAGTTGTGACTTGGCCCTTTTTGATTATCACTCAAGAGTTTGTTAAGTGCTTGACCCAAAGAGGGTTTCCCTCTCAGCAGTGGAGGCACTACACTAGCACATAACTCTGGATCCACTGGTGTGCTTAGATTGTACTTCCAGAGGCTGCTGACCACTAGGTGAAATACTTGAACTCAGAAACTGAGGGATGGAAGTAAGATTGACACTATTTCTCATCATCCTCAATGACCCACTTGAAGACTTGGTGGTTCTCATCCTTGCAAATCTGGACTGCTAGGTTCAGAGGTCTTGGAAAGTAGAAAGGAAAACCTTCCACCTAGGGACACCACAGGAGTCCTGTTTGAAGTTAAACTGTAGTTTCTTTTGGTCTCTATTTCCACCTTGTACAGTAAGTGGATAAATACAACATCACATCCTGAGAAGACCAGGAATTCAGACATGAAGGATGAAGGTCTGTCTTCCACGAGGTTTGCTAGAGAGTCAATCAGGTGAGCCATTTTAGAGTACAGGGAATCTAGGGCAGTAATAGAGAACATGAGTATGAGCCTTAATTGTGGATTACAGACAAGTGGCAACGGCAAAGCCTATCTTTTCCCACTGTCCTTTTCTAATTTTCTTCAGAAAAAGAGATCCACCAGGATCCTAGAAGAGCTGTTTCCAGAAGACATGACCTGAGCACACAGGTAAAGTGTGTGAAGGCTATGACACTTCCCAGACTCCTCCACCTCTTCATATCTAGAGTGGCTGGGCTAGGAAGTGCTGGTGGCTTAATCCAGTGTTGTCTTGTCCCATCTAAGAATTGCCCTTGGCTGATTAGCATTGCCTTGTCAAAGGCCATGTTTCCTTTCCAGGAAGTCACCCACTTACATGATTGGCCAGTGTGGGGTATCACTGCAGCCATCTTCCTTCAATTTGGGGCTATTCTGAAAGATCATTATAGGTTCAGAATGCCCCGTAGCATCATTTGAGGTCTTTCTTAAAATTGCATTGTAGTTCTACTTCTTCCGTTGCCTAGTCTGGCTTTCCCCATTTCCCCCTAGGTTTTGTGTTTTAGTCCCCTTCTGAATAAACTCCTTACATTCAAATCTTCACCCTAGAGACTGTTTCTCAGGAATCCCAACCTTTAACATAGAGACTACCCAGATTCTCAAAGGGTAGAGACAAATGATGGCCAGCTCCTTCACCAGAATAACTATTTTTACCAATTCTGAAGAGAAGTCCAGTGCTTTAAAGAAACCCAAACACTAGAAATCTCAAAGTTCTCTTGGTTTCATTACATCGATTGGGGGAAAGGAGTGTAAAGGCAAAAATAGTGCACCTACAGCCTGCACCTAAGTACTAGCAGAGCAGCTGCGGATTCCTCTGTCAAATGACTACATGTGCCATGATATAGTCAAGGTGGATTAGCACAGGGGTAGGAGGCTGTGTTGACTGCATTAATGTAAGGCAGATGGAGGAGCCAAAGACAGCCCCCATCATCCAAATAAGGCAACCAGGTTTCCACTTTACCAAGATCACTACCTGTATCTGGAAGAGTGGAGCCTGTTGGAGCATAAAGGCAAGATAAAATGAGGAAAAGGATTATTATATTTAGTACATAAGGAGCTATTACATTTCTAAAACAGTAAGCATTACCATTAAAAATTAGCGAGAAGCAAACTTTGATGGACAATTTAAAGCACAAACAGATTTGAAAATTATTGCACTTTTGTTAAGGAAGTTTTAAGAAATGGAACTAAGTTATTTAGATATTCTGGAGATCAGTTTGGTAAAATATGTACATATTACAATTACAAATGTTAAAAATATTTAAACCTCTGCCCCATGATTGATTCAGAAATTACATTTCTAGAGGTCTAGCCTGATTAATTTATGAAGCCAATTAATTATAAGTCTAAATAATTATGAGCCTAATTAATTTCCTGAATAAAGCAATGCTTTGGGAGAAGAATTTGGAAATAACCTAAGTCTTTCTCCCTCAGTGGGCCGTAAGTTCCCTCCTTCTTTGTTTACTTCATATCTACCATGCATGATGGAGTCAGTAAATATTTATAGTATTTACATTTCACAAAATAAGTTATGGTATACACATAATGCAGTACTTTCCTCCAAATGTCTTTATAATTATGTTTATTGAAATATAAATATATTAACAATAATTAATGTTTTTAAAAGCAAAGTGTTTTTCAGTTTGGGCTATATATTGTTTTTATAACATATTGAAGCTTTTTAGGCATACATATCAACATCAAAATAATAATTATCTGTGGGGAATATTACTGATAATTTTTTCCCTTAATCTACCTTTCTAAATTAACTCCACTTATTATGTACTATTTTAAGTGATTTAAGAAATTACATGGAGGTATCCAAGAATAATGAGGTGGTAAAAATTTATATTTCAAAGATCACTCTCTTGACTGATACTTCTATTCTTGTCTAACACCAAAAGAGTAAAAAAAAATCCTTAGAATCTTGTAATGAGAAATACTCTTTCAATCATTTTGATGGATAGAAAAGTTAGAAATTTGATGCTTAAAAAACTATAGCTTCTTCTAGAAAATGGGTTTCAAATGCATTAATATTATTGTAGTTATAACACCCAAGGCAATTTATCTATGATTTGTTATTCAAAATGTAAAGGATCAAAAGTTGAAAATTCTAAGATCTAAAATCTTCACTCAAAAGCACACAGCATGTTTTGCTTAGGGTAAGTGAGCACATTAGACATTATATTAGATTCCAAATTTTCTCAGTTTATGTAAATTTAAAAATTGGCATATGCACCTCCTCTTTTCATTCTTCTATGTAGAAGAAAGAGCTAAAAGCACAAATACTATTAGTGGAGAAGTTTGGGGCAGGGACCTTTTATTACTATTTGACTGTTTTAACTGTGTATGTACACTATTTATGTAAAAATATAATTAAAACAAAAATTCACTCACATTCATTTTGAAAATAAATGTAGAAGTTACTTACAAAGTCAAAAAATTTCCCAATACTGGGTTCTTTCTTCTTTCATCTTCAAATTAATTCATCAGATCAGAGAAAAAATTACTTAGTAATTCACATTGGGCTTTAGACTTTCTATACTTATTCCACACTTTTTAATTTCCTTTCTTCATATACATTTATCATAGCAAGTAATGAATAGCCAGGGTCTTCCTAAAACTTCCCTTTCAGCTTTATTAACTCGAGTGGCAACACATAAAGATCTGGCTTCTTCCATTACCAAACTATGTGGAACATGGAAAAGCCATTTGTTTTATAAAGCCAAATTAGAAAAAAAAATGTTTCTCATCTGTCTCTAGTTTCAATGGAAAATGTTGTCACTCGATCTTAGAAACCATGTAGAGGACCTAGAAAAGGTCAATGGTTTGATAAATAGTAAATAATGAAATAATAGTATAAATGGTTATAATAAATATAAATTAAGCAAGGATAAGAAAGATAGAGAATCATAAACTAAAGAAATAATTATTCACAAAGGCAATACTAATGGATTATATTTGATAATTCTAACCACTGCCAAAGAATTGTAGGATACTTGCTTACTTGTTCATGTTTCTGTGAGGGAAGTAGGGTAAAAATGAATGTGGGCAGATGACTAATCTGAATAGAAAGATCTAGAAAAGAAAAACAACATTTTTTGAATTTTCTTTACAACCTTGATTCATAAAGACCTTTAAAATTGAACTTTGTATTCCTAAAGTCAGTCAGTTTTCTTAAGAATGTGTTTCTGGTTAGAGGAAAAATATATCTATAAATCATATATGGATAACTGCTTTAAATTTTTGTAAAAATATTAGCTTTCCAAACATAAAGAAAATTTCTCCTTTTGGTTTTTTGTTTGTTTGTTTTTTGTACCAGGGATCGAACTCAGGTCCTTGAGCTTGAAAAGCAGGCGGCAGAACCACTTCTTTTGTTTTTATTTATACTTTGACTCCAAAATTATTTTCTTTGAGAAACATTTACTCATTTTTTTCCCATTAAGTTTATTGGTACATTTTAGGTGTAAAATACAGTTACATTCATCATTGGGATCTTGTACCTTTACATGAGTATCTTGGTTCTTATTTTTTCCCCTTTCCTTGCCCTCCATCACCCCCTCC